TGATTGTTCATAGTTAAAGTGATTAACTACCCGCCTGGCACTTAGTTAAGGGGTTTTATTCCCTCCCTAACTTCAGGGAAAAATCCCTACCTGGGGAAACAACCTTTCTCGGAGAGGTAACCTTGGTTAAAACACATAGTGCCAAGAAGGTGAGCAAACATATTAAGAACAGTATGCCATATACGCCAGGTCCCTTGAAACATATGCTGTGCAGATGTTTCTTCCCTGCAGCAACTGTGTCAAGCAGCAAGGATGGACCAGCTTCCAGCAGATTCCCCCTTTTTTATTTTTTAAATGATAGCGCATGTAAATCAGCGGCCACCTCTGGGATTGGGTTGTTTAAGACTCGGAAGAAGACTTTTTTTTGCCAACAGGTCAGTCTGAGGCTTAACCCTATACCAGCTCCTCACATCTCACCTCTTTTTTTTTTTAAGCTACTATAATGAAAATTTTCAAGCATCAAGAACAAAACTCTGGCTATTAAAACAATAACAAGACAATGCCAGTGCAAAACCCAAAACATTTTAAAACTTAAACATAACATTTTTAAAACTAGTAATAATAATAAAACAATGGCAATGCAAAACAGCAACAAGTGAGTTTCTGCTAAATGAGAGTTTCTTTTGCTGATTTACTCAGAGTCCTTGGACTTGGCTGAGAGAGTAGCTTCCACTTCTTGCTTTTCTACCATCTGCTGGGCCTCAGTTGTCTTCCGGCAAAGATAATAATCTGAAGAGGTTGAAAAACCAAGGGAAGTTGACTTTTGTTTGCTTGCTTGTTTGTTGATTTTCAAGCGAGAATTGAATATTTGTAGGCCTAACAAAAGCATAGAGATGAGAAAATACAGAGACAGAAAGCTGAGCAAACACCAGGAAAAGGAATAGAGAAGAGGTTGAAGGTATGACTAAAAGTTGAATATGGAAAGGGCAAAGCTCCCTCTGAAGCAATAAGGAAGAAAGAAAAAAGTGGAAGCACAAAGAAAATTTGGAGGGAGAGGTGAAAAAGGGTGTAATGGCAGGAAGTGACAAGGTCACCTACATAGAATAAGAGAGCTGGGATTATGATGGGACATTCCAGGAGGATAAACCAATAACTTCCTGTATGAAGCTATATAGTCCATTGAAGGATTTGAAAGGACTGATGGGGGGTGGGGGTGCAGTTAGTATTTGACATGGTTTTGTAATATTTCCCAAAATTTTTGGTAGCTTAGGTGTAGAGATGATCAGAGACTGAGATTACTATGGAAGACTCAAGAAAAGTTAAGGGGTGGAATGAGTGTTCAAGTAGACAGTGTTTAAATAATTTCTCCAAACTGGTTGGTAGAGCAAGAGACACCAGAAGAAACTTGATCAGCTAGGATTAAAAAAAAAAAAAAGGCTTGAGACAAATGAGATCAAAATGCCATTGAAGATGAAGGGAGTACAAAAGATAGAAATCAATGAAGATAAATAAAAAGGACCCCTATCATCACCACCACCAAATTTAAGATCTTGGAGAATTGAAAATAAGGTACCTGGCCATTGTAGGTACTATGGGGATCTCAGAAGAAATCTGAAAATGTAACTCTAGAAATATATGCTTTACCTTGGAAGGCCCTCATTCCTCAGGAAGGTTTTTTGTTCCATGGATGCTTCCCAGGGTCTTGTAGGTGGAGGTGATCAGAAAGACCAGACAAGTGATGTCTGAGCTGTTACCAATGGGACTAGGCCACAGAGAATATCCTTAGCCAGAGAATGTTAACCTCAACCTAAGGTTGAAAGTGAGTAGTCCTTTGGAATGGAGTTGAACAATGACTCAACTCATTGGCTTTGGCTCACTGGGCTCCCTTTCCTTCCCTTCCAGGGAATCAGTTTGAATGAATAGTAGCTGTGAAATACTCCCTGGAGAACAAGACTTCTATACACTAATAAATACTAAATGCTTTCACTACAATTTAAATGAATGACTTGCTTCCCTCCCCCTCCTTCCCACCATGCCTCACAATGAATGGCATGAGAATGACATTTTTTTCCAAAATGTTACACATTAATATAAATTTGTTGTAAAATCATGAATGTCTACCAGTTTTGTTGTGTGGGTTTTTGTTTTTTTTTAGATATTGTTGTTGTTTTATATTTTTATTGATTTCAGAGAGGAAGAGAGAAGGAGATAGAAACATCAATGATGAAAGAGAATAATTGATCGGTTGCCTACTGCATGTTGCCCACTGGGGACCAAGCCAGAAACATGGTCATGTGCCCTGACTGGGAACCAAACTGTGACCTCCTGGTTCATAGGTCGATGCCCAACTGGTTGGCTGTGCTCTACCAGTTTTGTTGATTAAAAATTAATTTGCATAAACATTTGAGGAATGGTGGGAGGGAAATTAATAAATACCTGAACCATTCAATTATTTGAAGTGCCTAGGTATTAAAATTTACTAAAGGATCATCTCAAAGTGTATTTAACACATTAGTGATTTTGGGGGGTCATTTGAAATGAAAAACATTTTTTTTCAGCTCCCATTTTACCTCTTCTCCCCTTGCCCCTAGCCCCGAAATATTCCTTCAGAGATTCAGCAAAAATAGGAAAGGATTCACATATTCCAGAAAGCAGATAATTTCCTAGTCTTCATGACAAGTATACTAGCTCTCCCACAGAGAAACCAATTGGATGACAATTTTAGGATAATTGAATTGCTTGATGCTTTTCAAGGTGTTGGGAAACCAGTGCTGTAAAAACCAATTTTTCCCCCCAGTGCTACCTGTAGTTTCCCGTGATGGGAGGTTTTCCGTTTACCCATTAAAAACAAAACACAGAGCCAGGTTTGCAGGTTCGTGAGTGGGTTTGTTATACAATGACCGTGAAAAGGAACCACCTGGTAATCTAAATGAAAACAAACTGAGTTGCCTGAATTTTCCATAAATCAGGTATAATCATTGGGAGTGGACAAAAAATACCTGTACAAAAGAGACTTGTAGATCCTAATTATAAATCATGTAAGGGTAAAAGAGTTACCATTGTTTCCCGTTTGGATGGAGATTTGGGCTCTCAGGTATGAAACAATTAATAATGATACTAAACAAAAGGATTGGTAATTACGAAAGAGACTAACACACAGAAAGAAAAGTCTCTGGCTGCTACCAGCCATGGAGCTGAACAGAAAGGCAATGATTTAGGCTTCTGGCTGTTAAGCTTGAATGTACCCCTAGAACTGCCTTGGTGGCTGGTTAAACCAGGTTGCTGGACTCCACCCCCAGAGTTTATGATTCAGTGGATCTGAGGAGGCCATCGGGAGGGGCTGCGAGTTTCCATTACCAACAAATTCCCAGAAGATGCTGCTGCTGCTGCTGCTGCTGCTAGCATTACACAAATTCCCAGAAGATGCTGCTGCTGCTGCTGCTGCTAGCATTATGCTTTAAGAACCAAATTTAGGTTAATTTAGAGCAATGTCTAGAGACAAAAGGTTTAATAAGAAAACATTGAAGAGAGTGAGTAGAGCTAGAAGAAACTTTATTGGAGGAAGTTAAAGGAAAGAAGGAATTAAACTAAATTAAACTTAAAATAATAGCAAGGGAAGGGAAACTTTTCATGGAAAGCAAAGGCCTGTCTGAACTAGGCACTTTGCACTCACAGTCCTGCAATCTGTGTTTTAACCAGGTTGGTAAAGTGATAACATCCAGAAGAGGAACCAGGAGATACTCAAAAACATAACAGTTATGAATGGATAATGAAGACCGTAGTACAATAACTGGGATGTGCTTGCTGCCCAGCGGGAGCCCAAGTGGAGTGGAAGGTTAAACGCATTTCTTCTCTGCAGAGAGAATGCACCGTTTCCCTTTCTGTGGGCCCCCGTCGGGGGTCAGAGCAAGGAGCCTCAGACCTGCCCTGCTGCCCTTCGCTGAGCTTTGCCGCTGGGACTTTGTGTCCAAAGACTGATCAAGGCAGGCTCACAGGTAAATAATAAGTGAAACTCCAAAATGTTCTCCACTGATCAACATTTTCAGGAATTGAAGTTCAGGTGCTTATTTTATAACAGTATTCGTGAGAGCTTAGCTCTCTGCCCTGCAAAGGGAAACATACTTTAGCTAGTCCCTTCCCCCGTTGCTGATGAAAAGTGCTTAGCTGTTCAGCAAGCTTCAGCTTGAGCTCCCCCTCAGCAGGGCAGTGCAGAGGGAGGTGGACGAGCACAGAGATGCTCCTATGGTAAGTGCTTTGTTGCTTCCTTTCTTGAATCATCTCCGGAGCGAGCAGCAGTGCTGCCCTGGAACCTGGTGCACACCCTCCCCAGGCCGCTGCGGGACGCTGGAGAGTGGCTGCTTGGGAATGACAAGCGAGCCTCAGTGGAGTGGTCCCCCAGAAAGGATGTCCCCCCTGAGGGGGACAGATGTATCCCCTCACTTATCTGTTAAATGCAGTGCATCTCAGAGCCAGGCACTAGGGCAGTGATGGTGAACCTTTTGAGCTCAGCGTGTCAGCATTTTGAAAAACCCTAACTTAACTCTTGGTGCTGTGTCACATATAGAAATTTTTTTTAAAATATACTTCAGACAGAGGGGAGAGCATAAGTAAAAAGAGTAAAAACAGAGGAGAGGACAGCACCGTGATGGCGAACCTTTTGAGCTCGGCGTGTCAGCATTTTGAAAAACCCTAACTTAACTCTGGTGCCGTGTCACATATAGAAATTTTTTGATATTTGCAACCATAGTAAAACAAAGATTTATATTTTTGATATTTATTTTATATATTTAAATGCCATTTAACAAAGAAAAATCAACCAAAAAAATGAGTTCACGTGTCACCTCTGACACGCGTGTCATAGGTTCGCCATCACGGCACTAGGGCTCAGACTCCTCCCTGGCCCCCAGGAAACACTCCTGGGATGTCATTTCCACGTCCTTGCCCATCACCTCTTTAGAACACCCTGGCCCAGGGTGCCTTCAGTCTGTAGAACTTAAAACATTCACTGTGTGTACACGTGTGCAAGCGTACGTATACAGGTGAGAGGCCGACGTGGGAACCTTGCCCCCTACACACCCGACAGGACAAGGACAGCACAGTCAAAAAGTGGGCCTGATGCCCTGGTTTGGCTCAGTGGATAGAGCGTCGGCCTGCGGACTGCACGGTCCCAGGTTTGATTCTGGTCAGGGGGGCACATGCCCGGGTTGCGGGCTCTATCCCTAGTAGGGGGCGTGCAGGAGGCGGCCCATTGATGATTCTCTCTCATCATTGATGTTCCTATCTCTCTCTCCCTCTCCCTTCCTTTCTGAAATCAATAAAAATATATTTTTAAAAAGTGGGCTTGAGTTCTAAGCCACTTAGGGAGTAGAAAAGGAATAGGACAGATGGAGACCACAATACCATTCTTATTACCTGTTAAGGCTGGGAGGGATAACGTGGCTTAGGAGTGCAGCAACTGAGTTTTCTAATACTGCAGCTCAGAAACAGGCTGACTCATTTATCAGTCCAGGCCAGATGCACACACGTGTCCTCCTGTGGGGCTCCCCTTATAAAACGTAGTGTGTAAGAGAAGACGTGACTATTTTCATTACTGTCGTCATTCCTCAGGGAAGAACAAGGTCTGGAAGCAAGGGTTGAGTTCTGAAAGCCCTGCTTACTCTTCTCAAATTTACCAATCAAATACTGCCGGAAGCCGGTCCACCCTTGCTGCTTGACACAGTCGCTGCAGGGAAGAAACATCTGCACAGCATATGTTTCAAGGGACCTGGCGTATATGGCATACTGTTCTTAATATGTTTGCTCCCCTTCTT